GTTAATAACTTATCCATTATAACTTCAAACGTTTATAATAAACTCAAGAAAATAGCCTTTTATAAGACTTTTAATCAACAATTACAACTTTTTTTCAAAGTTAATAACTTATCCATTATAACTTCAAACGTTTATAATAAACTCAAGAAAATAGCCTTTTATAAGACTTTTAATCAACAATTACAACTTTTTTTCAAAGAAGTTAATAACTTATCCATTATAACTTCAAACGTTTATAATAAACTCAAGAAAATAGCCTTTTATAAGACTTTTAATCAACAATTACAACTTTTTTTCAAAGAAGTTAATAACTTATCCATTATAACTTCAAACGTTTATAATAAACTCAAGAAAATAGCCTTTTATAAGACTTTTAATCAACAATTACAACTTTTTTTCAAACTACACACAATAGATGTTTATCGCCTATTGTTTGTGCGGGATCGTTGCCTGTGCCGGGATTTATCTGTGGACCGCCTACGGATCAGATCCGGTGAGCAGAAGATTGATAAACAATGATCTTGCTTCACGAAGGAAGTAATCGCAGCAGTGATAATCTCAACCAAGCGAGATTATGGCTCTTCTCGAGATTAGACCAAGCTTAAATCTGGAGGAATAGGGGGAAAACAAGTCTCAAATCTCTCGAACTTTCTTTTTTATTGAGGAACTCCGCTAAGATCTGGTAACTCTCTGAAATTCGTGCTCCACTCTCCAATTAGACAGCACTTCGTCCTCTTGATTTCCAAATCTGTAGAATGGAGGCATTAGGCTTGTATTTATAGGGTCTCGAATGCGGGTATTCGGATGAGAATGAGAGATTTGGATTTATCTTCAGTTAATAACAGCCTACCCACGTGTAAAGATGATATCAAGTCGGTTGGGAACCACTGGAACAGATAAATCCTGCGAAAACTACTTAAATAACCGTCGAAAACGCGTTGGGGCTCAGAACTGTGTGACGGACACTGGTGACCTGCGGGGGCGCGACCCACGCAGGTCACCAGGTGGTGACCCGCGGTCACGCGGGTCACCTAAGTCTTTCAAGATAAGAAATTCTTGAAAGAGATTTAAAGAGTGACCAAATGATCTTACCGTCTTAAAAATTCAAGAAACTATAATGAGGGGCAAAGTATTTCTCAAACGTTACATGAGTCTTAACACACTTTTCCATTTCCTTTATGTTATTTTATCCCACTATTTCTCAAATTTCTCGGTAACGCTCAGCTAGCCTTTGAGCCTTGGCATTTGTGATTTGCGAAGCTGCTAAGCAACCATCCATTGAGCACAGTGAACGAGTGAAGACACAGAATGCAAGATATCTGACAATGAAATCCAGCTTTTGCAGCAAGATATATCGTTCTCCCCTTGAAAACATCGTAATATAAAATTTTTTGACGATCATTCGTGTAAGTAGTGACTTCTAAAATATGCCAGAAGACATTTGTACAAGGTATATGGAACACGTTGCAGATAAGGTAATGTAAAGTAGAATATTTTATCTACAAATACTCATATAAGGTACAAAAATACACCAAAAGAGACAAAGGTATTCTCACAAAGTGAACAGGTAAATCATCGAATGTGAAGAACGTTTTGTTACAAATTAACATAAAAAATCAATATCATAAAAACATAATTAAAAAAATAGTGACTGAAAATTCTCTAAATTTGTCAACACAAAGGTTTCTTCACCGTGAAGGTTTTTCCAGTACCAATTTGATAATTCAATCAAGATACAAAAGCAGCAGGTTAAGAATCTGGCTCTCTTTTCTTTATTCAATATCTCGTACAAGCAGAAAAATTAAAATGTCTCTTTAATGCAAAAATAATAGGATTTAATAATACATGTTGAAGCAACCATGTATTTATGGGATACATTACCTCTGTCCCCAGTACATAAATATTCAACATTACAAGAGCCAGACAGATGAAACAACTTCTGAACTTGGCTCAAAAGAATGAAACTATCTAGCAAAAAGACTGAATCAGGGTTCAAAAGAATACCCACCTTATTTAAAGATATGCAACTCACAGTAAAAACTATTAGGAAGAAACCTCTCTACACTGGCAGTTCAATGTGCTGCTTCTCGGCTGTAGAATGCATCGAGGGTCTTTGCAGGGATACGATGAAGAAGCTCACGAGGAAAGATACGAAGGAGGGTCCATGCAAGATCAAGCGACTGGAAAATATTGCGGGTATCATATGCTCCTTGAGTGACAAACTTTCTCTCAAACTTGTCCAGGAACTCTAGGTAGAGCTGTGTTCATAGATGTAAAACCAAAATTAGCAATATGGAAAAAATTATTAGCACTTATACCCTGGAATCTCAGGTGACGTTATTTTTTGGGAGGGCAATTCAGCCTTTTTTCCAATGAACTGAGGCAAAAAGTTAATTTACCATCACTTCACATCTCAACCAAGCTTGTGCAATAATATCGTCTCAAGTTCATGTGGTGCAAGTGCTATTTAAGTGTTTAAGTGGGGTTGTAAGTGGTTCAGGCAGTGTGTATACAATTACGCACAAACAGCTAGAATGAGAACTTATTATAGGAAAATAATATGGCAGAAAAAACTCAGTGAGATTAAGACCAGATCCTCAGACGAGAGTGCCTCCTCTCCGACAACTGCTTTCATAGCCTGAACGTCCTTCCCAATAGCATAATTGGCATACAACTAGAACATAAAAGCAAAGAAGCATAAGAAAAGCTGCACAAAACAATAAGGTCAGTTTATCACAAGCAGTCAGCAGAATACCTGGTTGGACACATCAGAATGATCACGACGGGTCATTCCCTCACCAATAGCACTCTGCAAAAACAAATAAACTCTATGATATTGCTCTAACAACCTTGACATTAAATCAGAAAGCATATTAATATGGAAATGGGTATGATTTGCTAAGGCTCACCTTCATCAATCGCGAGAGGGAAGGAAGGACGTTAATAGGTGGATATATCTGTTGACATAGTTAATGCGTTCAGTTTGGTCCCAAGTAATGAAGAAAAAGAAAACATGGCACAAGCAGTACCTGTCGATTGTGGAGCTGCCTATCAATGTATATTTGACCTTCAGTAATATAACCAGTAAGATCGGGAGTGGGATGTGTGATATCTGTTAACAAATAACAAGGAATCAGCAAATAAAATAATAGTGTAATTTATGGTTAAAACTCACAGATTTGAACAGACAAAACAGAAGATTTGAATATTCAGCATAGGTCCCCACCCATGAGACCACTGCATGAAATTTTCCTGCATAAAGGAAGTTCACATGGAATAAAGCTCTCTTGCTATAAATTACCATCATTAGGCATAGTTAGGATAGGTATTTGAGTAATGGAGCCCTTCCTTCCTTCAATACGCCCAGCACGTTCATATATTGTTGCCAGATCAGTGTACATATACCCAGGATAACCACGTCTACCTGGCACCTCCTCTCGAGCAGCAGATACCTAGATCCAGATAGAGTTTGAATCAAACAACGTAACAAAACGAGCTTAAAATGTCAACATGGCCATCAATGAAGCTTATCAAATGAAGTTTGGAAACTTTTTAATGACCGAACTACAATAACAAAGAATTATAATGGTTAATGGCCATAATTTGGAGACCAACAACGCTATAAGGTTTCAAAAGATGAATGGCATATCTCTGAAGCAAATCCCAGAAAAATGTGAAAGGTTTAATTACTACTTTCATTGGCTACAAATTCTTCATTTGCAGAGGAAGAACAGCCCAATCCTTCCAGATACTCGTTCTAGGTAGTTAACTTACAGACAGAGCTATACAGACACTGTAAGTTATCTATGATGGTGTTATGGCTTGAGTGGGAAACAACTAGAGATAGAAGCAGCTAACAGATTAATGTAGCAATGATCAAAATTTTCTTCAGAGTCTCTTGTAAGAATATTAAGAAGTTCATTACCTCACGAAGAGCATCAGCATATGAACTCATGTCGGTTAGGATGACAAGGACATGTTTCCCACACTCATAAGCTAAATATTCTGCTGTGGTAAGAGCAATTCTAGGAGTGATGATACGTTCAATTGTGGGATCATTTGCCTGTAATAAAAACAGTATCAGAATGAAGAATATTGGACTTCTAAACTACAGATTTCCAAGGTAGGAATCATATCAGAACTAGACGAGCTGCTTGTAGTAAGTAGTAAAAGAAATATAAGACTAAAAACAATTACTAGGCAAAATACCAGATTTAGAAAGAGAGTCACTCTCTCCATAGAACCATTTTCTTCAAAATCACGTTTGAAAAATTGTGCTGTTTCCATGTTTACTCCCATAGCTGCAAACACTATCGCAAAATTGTCATCTTCTCCACCCTGTTCATGACATATATCAAGTATATAGATTTAGTAAAATCTGATCTTCTAAATACTGTAACTCCAGAGAAAATGTAAATAATATGATGGACATGAATCATGATCTGACATTCTAAATTAACTTTTACTGAAACTCCTAATTGTAAAGAAACTGCAGCAGTAGAATACAAGACAGAGACTAACAGCATGAAAGAAACTTCCTACTAACAAGTGCTGCATAACATATATGACATTCACTAACAAACAACAAAATTTATCTTGAGCAGCTAGACTCTCCAAAATGATGTCCTAAGCTTTAGGGAGCTGATACTACGGTTGTCGGTTGGAAGTGCACACGCATACACTCACACATTAACCAAAGTTTTAGAAAGCGCTACGCTCTTCTAGGCGCTAGACATAGAGCCTAGTGCCCAGACGCTTAGGTTGGGGCCTCACCGTTTTATCTGAGATGAACTTGGATCGAATTCTGATCTGATCCATTTTAACCAGCTCGTTCTCTTCACCCATTGTTACGCTTATGTGGGCAATAAACCCCTTTTTGACACAATGAGTCCACATAGGCAGCCATGTTCTCCTAGGCGCTTTCAAGAATTATGCGGGCAGCCTAGGTACCACTTAGGCCTAGACAGGTGCCCATATATCTTTTTAAAACAATTATAATAACTTCACAACAGTAATTACAGTAACAAAAATATAACAAGTGAATCATCAACAAACTTCATCAGGACAGAACTTCGTTTCGAGGGTGTTGCATCACTTATACCACCTTCTAACATAATAATGGTGCCGATTGCCCAACTTGACTACCTGAGATGTTAATGTACACAAGTTCAGGTATGTTTTTCTACATTTGATGTGTATACAATCTGCGTCATGAGATATGCCTCAAAAAACCTTGAATTCTATGGATTATTGAAAGAATATATGTAGTTAAAGCATCCGGACATATTAGCAGTTTATTTAGACAAATCTTTTGTCAGACTTCCTTTCAATATTGTACAATTACGTGAATGATGAAAAAAAAACTAGATGGCTATGGGTCTATTTATGGAATAACATACTTCTATAAACCATCCTATAGAGAAATAGGAAAGGCGAAGTTTTTATTCCATCTAACCCTAGTCTCTCTTAAATAGAGATTAGAAGAATTACATAAGCAAGTATAGGTATTGGCCCAGTTACCCAAACATCTAAATGACTAAACAAAGTAAACATATAATAACATCTAACACCCCCTGCAAGCTGGAGCATGTATCTAAAAAATGCCCAGCTTGTTACACATAAGAATAAAATAAGTATGTTTGCAATTAGTAGATAGCCAGATCAATAGTACAAGACCCTTGATATAGAAATGTCTCATAAACCCATATCGAGCCTTGAAGAAATCCAAGGCGGGCCAACCAGTAAAAATCTATGTGGGTTAGCTAGTAGAAACCCTAAGTGGGTGAGCCAAAATAACCCCTAGGCGGTTCTCCCAAAAGAAATCCTAGGCAGGTCTACTCATAGAAATTCTAGGCGGGTCAGCTAGTAGAATTCCACGCCAGGTCAGCTAGTAGAATTCCACGCCGGGTCAGTCAGTTGTAATAAGGGAAAAAGAAAAATCCTTGATCGATCCACTGCTTGCTTGCTTGATCTCAATTTCTATGTCCTCAGACAAGAAAGATGATAAAATCAATGCACCTTTTGAAAAGAGAATAGCGAAGCCTGGAAGATCTCATCGAAGATGAATTAAACGTTGAAGCTAATACCAAAACATGTTGTAGAGGGGTCCTGCCCATGCCATAAACAGTAATCATGATGCTGTTCATGGTGAACAGTAACCTGGTTGCAGTGCTCTGAACAATGTCTTTTTTTTAGTATGAACTTTTTTTGTTTGTTTGAAGTTAGGGTTTTTGAAGAGGATTTTGAGATCGTTCAAAGTTTTTGTCAGCGATGAAGCTGTTGTGCCGAAGTCGCCGAGGGGAAGCATCAGAGGCCGAATATCCGCCACCCCCCCACCGGCCCAAAGGCGAGCCCGTGACCTAGAAAAAGGAGGGGATCTTTCTAGGATCAACAAGTAGGTTCTGATACCAAGTAGAGAAATACCTTAATAACTAAACATATGATAACATCTAGGGTTATTTGCAAAATATACCACCCAAATCTTCCATAATTGCATTTTTAGCACCCAAATCTTCCATAATTGCATTTTTAGCACTCAAATCTTCATAATTGCAAACTTACCCCAAATCTTGAAATTCCCATTAGTCTACCCTCCCACGATTAAATCAATTTCTTAGAATATTCCAAATTCTTTTGTTGAGTTAATTATATAAAATTTTAAATGCCCATAATGCCCTTCAAAGATGTAATTGAGGTAATCATGTTAATCGAAACCAAATTCCCCTTAACAAATCAAACCCATACCCATTAGACCTCCCTCTCTCTTCAACTAACTCAAAGTACCACTGTACCAGGTTCAATTTCTTCCTCTTAAACTAGACTAGGTGATATTGGTAGAACAATGTAGGAATACTCTCCTTTCCTCTCCAACCTTCTTCGTACTGTTCCTCTCCCAAATAAAATCCCAATCATCCAAAACCACCAAATCCATCCACAATCTTTTCCTCAAAAAAATCCCAACCCTTAACCCAACAACATTAGACGTCAATATGAATTGGATTATTTCTTGACAAAGGAAGTGACCATTGTATAGTGCAGAATTGGAAATTTTGTTGTATGACTTTGAGGAGTTTACGGTTCATTGGTGTTGTCTCTGTTCAACTTAGTTGAACAAGGACCAAGAGAGAGGATTGTGCGTGTATCGATCACTGCCTTCGCATCTTGATCCAAAGGTGAGAATGGATCCAAGGCCAAAGAGGAGGATGACGACGACAAGGAGGATAGGTGGTGGAAGGGGGAAGCTTGGGAGTAGGACATGATGCATAGGTGTACAGAGGCCCCGATGACAATGACCGCAATGATGATCCCAGTCAATATTGAAAATAATAATAACGCATTACGTATGGCTCTACCTTTTGTTAACGGTTAAGGGGCGAAAACATAACACACAACATAGGTTATTTTGTTTATTAAATATTTAGATATTTCATAAATACAAACTATTCATAATGACTTTAATAATTAATATCATCAAAATTTTAAACACGAAGGAGAACTGAAAGAGTTATAGGAGTAAGGATTTAGAAGGCTTCATCTTCATAGAAAGGAGTTACGATTTAAAAGCTGGAGAGCTGTTGCAGGTGAAGATGGGGTTAGGATTTTTTTCATCAGCGAGGAGATATGGGATCCGAGAAAGGACCAGAAAGGAACCTTGTGGTCAGTGAAGATAGAGGATGAGAAGAGCCTTGTCGTCGGAGAGAGGTTTCGTCTTCATCGAAGATGTGCGAGGAACAAGAGATTGAGAGGTTTTTTCATCAAAAGAGTGGGGGAGGAGATGAGGGAGGCATTGGAGATAGGGTCAGAGGATCACTAGGATTTTTCACATGAATGAAATTGGGGTTGGGGATTCAATTGGGAATTTATTTCGGTTACCGTGATACTGATTTGGAGGGTGGAGATATCGTCACGTATCCAGATATAATCATCAATTAAACTCAATTAAACAAATGTTAAATAATGCTTAGCGTAACGTGGATAAAACACATTTTTTTGTGTTATTTTCTATGTTAAATGCAACATGGTTTTCTGCCTAAGTTTTATAAAACTTTTGCTCTGTTAGGTGTTGAAACGGGTTGAAATGGGTTTCGAAACGGATTTTTTTCTACATTGAGCCCAGGTGGGACGAGGATAGTTAGGGAAGAAATGGTACCTGAATTTGACAAAGTCTGTTAATCAATAGTCGGAGAGTTTGTTTTAGTAAATTGACCTTTTCAGCATTAGTTTTAGTAAATTGACCTTTTCAGCATTAGTTTTAGTAAATTGACCTTTTCAGCATTAGTTTCCAAACACCGATGTACTTAAAAGGTATACTAGTTGGAATATTGAGGATCTGGGAGGTAAACTTGCAATTATGAACATTTGAGGGTAAATATACAATTATGGAAAATTTGGCGGCTATGTAGGCAAATAACCCTAATATCTAACACATCCAAAACTACCTCTAGAATGTATTGACAAGAAGTAAGGGTCAACAGGATAGTGCTATCATTTAATGACAAAACAAAACCAGGATGATTAAACTTCTAATCATATTAGACTTGAAATATCAATATTCAATAGTTAAAGAAAGGCTTTAATTTTCCATTTGCTGTGCCAAAGCTATTTTAAATTGATCAGAGCATTTAAACAATTCTGAAAAAGATCATGAAAAGTGCAATGAGTATTGCATTAGTTGATAAAATTCGAAAAGGAATTACCTATAAAAGTGATCTCATAAAATAGTTTTAGGCTTTGAAACAATTAAGAATTAAGAGAGGAAAAATAGAACATATTAAGATATAAATTTCACGACACAATAATGGGGAAATCAATGCACATTGTTAGCTAAGAAAAAATTAGACTATTTCTTATGGAACTAGGATAAGTCACTAACCCTGATGGTAAGATCCAATAAAATATGTAAACCAGCAGCAAAATCAACACCCAGAAAGTTCAGCAGCTATGAGAGGACACTGTTACAGTTATTATTAGGTAATCACTCAAAAGAACGGAAAACAATCTGTCTAAAGCATTATGGGGGATTTATTGGGGAGAAAATGAAAAGGAGTTAAAAAATCTTTTTGGAATATGCTCATGAGAGTGAAACAAAAGTGGATATCAGTTTGATGTGCAAGATTTAAGAGTCTATGGAAAGGTGGCAAAAGAGAACGTGTACCACACTACCAAGGATAATATAGAACTAAGTTTAGAGATGGACAATTGATAATGGAGGATGAATTATCTACCTAGAAAAACACCGGTTCATTTATCATAAATGAGGAAAAGTGTGCATGTTGGGCTAAGATGAAGCTTAAACTTTCATAACCAACAAAAACTAGATCATTGACATACTTTAAATGAGTGAAAGAGAATATCTAAAGCAATTGAATACTTTCCTGTATCTATCTCTTTCTACTGACATCAATTCGAACTTCATGGACGAGAAAATATCTTAGTTATTTCCAGGAACTTCTAACCATTAGAAAACATGAGGTTCTAACAACTAACCAAGGCAAGTGAAATTCAGCCCTGGAAGAAAGAAAAAAAAGGATATCTGCAAAGCCTTCAAAGAAAAAGGAAGGGAAAAATAGAGTCTAAACATCTAAGAAGAAACAGATATAAAAAACGGTAGCAGCAAACTGGGTAATTAAGCTCCATGGAGATTTTAAAAAGTTAGATTCTAAAGAGCAGAGGCAAAAGTTGAACTGCAACAACTTTAAACTGACAATAAACCTAATTTCCTTCAAAACTGTATGTTTCCCCATGCCATAAGAACTTCTATAAACCAATTTACCAAGATCTAAACAACAGTCAAGACCAATGCAAGAAGAAAGATACATGGTAAACTGGAATTGTTAATAATTTCTATTATAGTAAATGTAAATGTAAGCATTCCACAACATTGTAACATTAAAGAAACAAACCCAAGCACCACATTACTAGTTTCCTGGGAAACACTATCCCACCAAAATTGACAAGAAATTAGTAATAATAACTTGATGAGATGAAATTCATTAATTCAATTACTTTTATCATTCATCAAGTATTTTTTTCAATTTCAACCTCCAATATAATAATAATAATAATAAAATCATTTTGACTATGCTTTACTTCTATATGGATACAGGTCTCAATACCTCCAAGAGATTTTCTGTTTTTTCCAAACGCTTGACAAGCCCAGCCTGACGACAAATCTGAGCAGCTATTTCATTATGAGGAAGCCCAGCAGCAGAGAAGAGAGGAATCTTCTGCCCTCGAGCAATGGAGTTCATGACATCAATAGTAGATATACCAGTCTGTATCATCTCTTCAGGATAAGTTCTCTCACTCGGATTAATAGAACTTCCTGCATCAGATCATCAATTCATTAGCCAAATAAACTGAAAAGTCTTGCAGTAGGGATAATAAATTAAAAGAAATTAAATTCTAAAAACTGACCAGAAATATCTAAGTAGGCTTCGGGTAAAATAGGTGGGCCATTATCTATAGGTTTCCCAGAGCCATTAAAAATGCGCCCAAGCATATCCAATGAAACAGGAGTTTTTAAAACCTGTATACAGGAATAATAAGATGCTCAGAACAAGAGAGAAATCATTAAAGCAATAGGGCAAATGGATGCATACTTAGAAAAACTGTGAATGTATCATAAACAGGTAAACATGTATTTTGATAGACAGATGTGTGGTGTGTATTAATAACCTTAGATGCACGCACGCACGCATGCGCACGTGCGCACGCACACATGCACGTTCAAGCATGCACAAAGCGCCTTTGCGATTCAAGCTAGTGCTAGTGATTCCTGTCTCCATTTTCTTTATTCAAGCACGAATCTGTCGTGATGCAGGACAGCTTACAAGTTCTGAATTATAATTGTTAGGATTAGGAAACTTAGTTAGGGTAAAAATAATGTTGTCGGGTTTTTATTTGATACTTTGGTTAGATATTTAGTTAGTTAGTTGATTTTCTATTTCATTAGTTGATTTGTTTGTATCATTAGTTGTGATTTGTGGTTAGGATTGAGATTTATTTTCTATTGTCAAGTTTTTTTATTTATAAATAACATGTATTTTCTATTTTAGAGATAGACATTGATGAATGAAATATATGAGTTGATATGAAGCATGTGAGTTGCTTTTTATGTGTTTAGGTATGTAATTTACCAAGGCTGTGAAGCCCAAATTATCTTTACTGTTTAATTATCCTTGTTCTTTTGTCTCTCTTCAAATTAATCCGCCTCCCCATAAATAAATAAAAGAAAATATTACCGTTCATTAAGAACTGTTCACACTGTTACTGTTTATCTTGATGTTTTTCCAGTGCTTTTCCGTTCCCCATCATGTTGAGGATGCAAATATGCAGTCAATCCAAGGGGAGAGCTTCTGCCGAGTGAACTGGGGAGCTACCTAGTCAGACCAAAAGAAAGGACGAAGGAAAAAAACTAAGAATGCTGTGTCATCCAAGAATCCTCCCACAGAATGCGCCTAGAAGAATGAGTTTTCATCACGTCTGGGAAACCCAAAGTCCATTCGTGGAGGAAGGGATGAATGAAAGAAGGGAATACATTGGTGCACAGACAACACACATGTTTATGTATGTATATATAGTACGTTGTGTGGGTGCTCCTATCATGAAGACTCAATCGCTGGTGGTACCTCTTATGGTGGTAAGGTTGGAGTTGATCAAACGTGAGTATCGGCAACAATGAACCCGGAATAAATTTTGATTTTGGTAGATATGGTAAGTACTGGAGCAGGTCAAGGTGTCTAATAGATCATAAATGCAAGTGGTCATGGTAGTCATGGAGATTGGAGAGAGGTACGAAAGACTTGTAATTGATTCATCTACTCATAGCTGCAAGATAATGCTAGGACTGTTGCAAACTTTCAACATGTTGTTTATGTTCCCCAAGATGTATTTCCCTCTCTTTCAGTTGCTGCTCCATCTCCTTAATGTTTCATTCATCGCTTCAAGACGAGCACGAAGAGTACTGCTCTTGACCAAGGTATTCAAGTCATTGCAATAAGATTTCCTGGTGAACTCTGAAAAATGTTCATGGCCAACTTATATCTCAAAGATTGCTATCTTCAAGATTTGCATATTACATAGCTTGACCTTCGATGTGGCTGACTGAGCGAATCTATTATGTGATTGAACAAGTTCGGAATAATCTTTGAGTTTGATTGAGATGGTGAATAAGATCCTTGTCTACATCAGTCAACCTCAAGAAAATTCCTTACCTTTTTGTTTTTAAGATCTATAACCATTTCAATATTCATTAAATACCTTATGACAACAAGCATTAAATGGACTTGCCCATAGTTCCCCTCCTAAGTTCTATGTGTATCTATTAGCCGCCTCCAACAAGATATTTCTATATGCATTAAAATGAAACATATAACCAGCCTAGAGACATGAGGGTCAAATGAATAATTAAAAATTAATGAGAATGAAAAGATCATGGTTATATGCCAAGAATGGGAATGAGCAATAGTTCATAAAAAAGAATTTAAAATGAATTAGACCTTATCCAATGCAGTCGTACAATTAGACCTTACCTCCCCTGTAAACTGCACGGTGGTGTACTTGTTATCAATGCCGGAAGTTCCTTCAAAAACCTGACAGTCATAAGCAAATACATCAACCAAGAGTATGAGGTCCGAAAAGCTGGAGAAAAGTAATTTATACATAATCCTTAACATATCTCAACATAATAAACCTAAAAAAAATTAAAAAATGAAGCTGTAAAATTAAAAACATTAGGAAGTATGTGCAAAAAAATTCCCAAAAAAATTTGATAAATTGCTGGAATTTAGAGAGTATCATATTAAGCTTGTGAAACAAAATGAATAAGCTTTGCTAATAAGATAAAATTCATCATTACTTTCAGTGGACAGTATGAAGAACTTGACTAAGGTGTAATGGAGCAAAATATGAGACATTGAATTGAATTCAGTATTTAATATTATTATTTGAATAGACTCAGATCAAATAAAGGTACTGACTGGATGATTGACTTTGACAAATGCTTTAAGTCTTTAAAAAAATATTGGCTTCCCACATTCTATGTTAAAATAAGGAAAATATATAAAAACACATTTGTTCCTGATCATGATGTTGCATAACGAAATTCTAAATAGACTTAATTTATTGGTAAAAGTCACAAAATCCCCAATACTTTGGGGCGTTTCCTGCAAAAACCTCTCAAGACATTGTTATTCGTACTAAACACCAAAAACTTTTCCCAAATAGCCAGTGACAAAATGCACCTCTGGCCAAAAAAACAATATTCATTCTCTTTATTTATTTATTTATTTTTTCAAAATAAACCACATATTAGGCAATTTACAAATAAACCATTCCTCTGTTTTCTCGGGTAAGTTTGCATATGGGACGTAATGTGAGGGTTTTCTGAGAAAATATAATTCAAAAGGGTGAAAAAAAGGCTTTTGGGCCAGGACACCGTGGGAATTATGTGGGAAAAGTTTTTGCTGTTTACTAGGAAAAAAACAAGTATTGAGGGGTTACATGAGAAAGGCCCCAAAGTATTGGGGTTTTTTGCAAAATTTACCTAATTTATTTGCATTAGGTCATTTTCTTGTATTTTCAGATACCTATTGGGTCATCAATATTTTTTTCAGATATTTCAGAAAGCTTCCAAATATCCATATCCATATTTTTGAGCAGATGGAGACACCATATTTGTCAAATAGGAATGCAGAAACAAGTGGGGATCTAATTGCATCCACCAGAGCACTGAGACCTTTCGACACACAGTTCCAATATTGTTGAATAATTACAATTGTTACAAAATGCAAAAAAAAAAAAGTAGCACTTTCAGAATGTCTTAGCATTCACGCATCTCAAGATAAGCATTCAAATAGAAAGAAGACATAACTGAATACAATGCACGACTAGCGGCACATATAGAACAAATAACATAATCATTCTGTAAGGCAAAAATATATCCTACATTGGAAAAGTTAGAGATGTGCCTGCAGCAGCTCTTTGGAAATAGCAGCAATCAGACATCTCAAAGTTGTGCATCAAACAGAATTACAGATACCAAAAGGTGAGATGCATGTCACAGAGTAACAGAGAAAACTAATGAAAGTAACCAAACAGTCAGCAATCTACCAACGAAAGCTGTGTTGCTACAAATGACAGGTTCAGAATATGCAATCTTTAAGTAAATAAAACTTCAAAAATACAGACATAAAAAGGCACTTACCTGAACCACAGCTTTCTCTCCATCAACTTCCAGAACCTGACCACGCCTTGTTGAACCATCCCCAAGTCGTATATTCACAATTTCTTGATATTTAGGACCCTGGAATAAATTTCAAACATAAACAAATAGAGTAAGATCAACTTCCTAACAGCAACTTTTTACCTTGACTTTTTCCAGTATTACTAGTGGTCCTGCAACTCCGGATACAGTTCTGTATTCTGCACCATAGGAGGGCAATAAATGAAGCCTTTCATCAACATTTTTTTGCAAGTTTAGTTAATATTATAGAGCATGGAGACTATAATTTAACAAGTACTTGAGTTGTTGAGGAGTACAAACATCAAATAAGAATACAATGTACCAAACAAGCAACAGAAGTTTTATCCCAAGGTCATTCTTTGCTTTATTTTGAGAAGGATTTATTAAAAGATAACAAAATTAACCATTTTTTGTTTCCTTTTAGGAGCAGACATCTGACAACATATACAATTAAAATAAATCATCTTTTGTAGATTGTTGTTTGTCTCATTGAGAGTTTAGTATTGACTAGTTATTCTCTTCTTTGTATGTGAATTCTTAATTTGATGATTTTCCCATCATCTCCCATATTTTTTTATTTCCATCTGTTTTTATTATAAAAATAAAAAAACACTCTTGGCAGATTTTTGCTACTAAAGAGTTGTTTGGAAGGGCTTATTTCTAGGAGCTTATAAGTCATGCTGGCTTTTGATGGATTTTGGCTTTTATAATAAAATCCTTATAAAAGTTGTATGGATAGAATGGTTGGTCAAACCTAGCTTATTTATATGAGCTTATAAGCTATTTTTTGGGGAATCCCAACTTCTTTAAATGGGACTTAAAGCCAGCTTATTGGTGATTTACCAAACAGTTATATATAAAAAAGCTAGCTTAAAAGTCAGTTTGACCAAAAAATAAGCTCTCCCAAACACCCTCTAAAGCCCACTAAGCCTAAGGCCTATCATCCCACTTCACTCCCCTTTTACATGCCCCAACGTTGTACAGTTCATAGCACCTCTGCTTAGTAACACCATTAAAGAAAAGAAAAGGCGTTTGCACCTGCCTCTTGAATATTTTGCGAAATAAAAGTTACCTAAGCAAGGTGCTTATAAAGAAATTATTTACATTGTGTAGGCTAATACTACCTATATGATGTAAAAAAATGGCAGTAGTATATTTTTCCTAAAAACCATGAGTTTCTTATTTGTTCTGATGCTCCCTGAATAGAGCATCAGAACAATCTCACTTTGAGTCCTATTGAACGTAATGGTGTCATAAACTTCATTCCTCATATGCCACTTATCACAAACAATTGCTAGAAATATAGTTGTGAGTTGCAGTATTTTAAATGTCGGCCGTCATATCAGACATATTGATAGACATGGCGGCTTTAGGGGCCAATCGTCACTCCTCTTCTATCACTCCTTCAACATCTTATCGGTCTATTCTCCGAGTTGTTCCTTCGACATCGATATCGGGCAATCTCTCTCCGTAACCGCCAACATCGAGCTTCTCTTTTCTCACCTCTTTCCTTTAACATCCACTCTAAGCATCATAAATTATTTATTTTTTATATATTTAGACAATATAATTTATTAACACATGCACACCCTTCGACACAGCAATCCGATATTTTTTCATGTCCTCGGATATATCCCCGATTTTCGGTATCCGACATGAATTTTAGTCATCCGACACGAACCCAACATCTGATATTTAAAACATTGGTGAGTTGTAAGCATACCATGATTTAAACCAATATTCCTATTTTCCATCATAAAAAAATTCATAGAGAAGCATTAGTAATTTATTACAATCATCTAGTTATATCCATCCTCTAGTTTTACTTCTAATAGCACTATACAAGAAAATTATCTCTCTACTATGGTCAGCTAGCACCAGTGCATACTAGAGCTAATGTCCCATGTATACCTCCAGCAACAATCAAGGGAATTCCTTGGCAAATAGCACCAGCACATATTTATGATATTTGTGCCTATTCCAACAAAGCTATTTAAGAAGATATAACTGTACCACCAAAAAACACTATGAAGGTTTCAAAATGATTAGTTAAATAGAGACTTGAGTTTAGAGTCATACCAGAGTGCATGATCACATGAAAGATCATTCAGTTTCTGTTAGGTGGGTCGTAAGGAAGGAAAAGTGCAACTAATATGCGAATTGAAAGAAGCAAGTTTGATATTGACATGTTTGGACAAGAGATAAATGAGTTCAAAATTAATCGTTATGATTATTTGCAATTAGGCATAGTATGAGAGTTATTTGCACCCTTTAGGGACTACCGGTCAATATTCAATTTATTACTTTCGGACATTATTCAAATGCCAAAGGACAATGTAATTTAATCGAGTTAGTATATTTTATGGCAATAAATCAGGTCTCTCTAAGAGGGTGTTGGCTGGATGAGATACACAAAAGTGTGAAATCATGACCCTTCATCGTTATCACTGAGTTAAAAACTTATTGTTTGTGCAAGATGAAGAAAATGTTGCAAATATTTCAATGCATTAATGGCAATGTCACAGAATACGCTAGGCGGACTAGGTGCTTAAGCCAACGCCTAGACGCCTAGGCGTACGCCTAGGCATTTTGCTATTTTTTAAATTATTTAATTATAATAATTGATAAAATATGTATTAAATTCATATAAATTTGTTTAAAAAATAGATAGCAATCTTATATCCACAATAAACCATACATACTTAAATATTAAATAGCTAAAATAATAACTAACAATGTTATAGAAAGCGCTAGGCATCCTAGGCATTAGACCCGACGCCTAGAGTTTAAGAGGTTTTTTTTAATTATAATAATTGATAGTAAATGTCAATGTTATAGAAAAACTAGGTGCCGGACCGGTGTCAACATGGATTTATTTCTTCATTTAAGTGGTGGTCAAGGAGGTTTTGCTGAACATCGAAGGAGTTAGGGGAGGCGTTCATGTTTAGAGGTTAAAGGAGTTTGAAGGAGGTTGAAGGACGTAGAGGCTGCAACACAAAAAATCACGATCAAGGCCTAGAGGGTGCAGTCCACATATGCAAACATTTTTTTCCTAAACACTCTCAAAGCCTAGGTGGTCAGCCTAGGTATTGCCATGCGCTAGACGCTAGTTTGGCGGCCTAGGTACTGCCTAGACCTAGGCGAAGACTTTTTAAAACAGTGATTAATGGTAACCTTAACTATCTTGACTCGGCTTTACACTGGTTATTTTAGATTTTTCTACAAGAACTTTTCAAACTTCATCGATGGCTCCTAAACTTTCAGAGAGAAAAGTAATTTTTGAAATCTGTCTCAAAAATCATTTTCCTACATGTATTACCTGGTTTTCTCAGAACAAACCTATGAAGCACGGACACGCATAACATGAAGCCGTATCGTGTCGTGTCCGTGTCGGACACACGTGTCGGACACACGTGTCGAACACACGTATCCTATGTATTTTTTAGGATTTGCCTCGTGTCGGCGTGTCGGATGGTCGTGTCGGATCCTATTTTTTAGGATTTGCCTCGTGTCGGCGTGTCGGATGGTCGTGTCGGATCCGTGTCCGTGCTACATAGGAACAAACATATGCAGTGGCTGAAAACACTAGGCATCAACTGTGCGTAAGAAATGGTTAAAAAACACTAGGCATCGCTTTTATGGTTGGTGTACCTGTGAGTGGCAACCATGAATTTATAAAATAACTATTTCCCACTGGGTCGAGATTTCCTTGTCCTTCTTCTGTTTTCTTTTATTTGCTAATTATTTACAAAATAAAAGCAAATTAGAAGAGCACTAACAAATGAAGTTGAAGACCAACATACCCATGCCAACCTCCAAAGTTCCCTCCTCCATATCGGTAATGTTCTGTACTACACCCATATTTACCTTAAAACATGAAGAGGAAAAATATTAACCCAAGTAAACTCATAGCAAAATCTAAAGGCAAAACGGATTCTAAAGCTATATCCTTCACTAAGAAAATCATAATACAGTTAAAATTTTCAACAACAAATTAAAAAAAATTAAAACTACAAATTTAATCAACAAATCTAAAGATCTGGAAACACTAACTTGATCTCTAGATCCCAAAGTTTACAAAAGTCAAACTCCCACATTGATAAACATCTATCACTGATATTTTCACTCGATTTATCAAATTAAAATGAAAAAATAAAATATCAAATAAGAAATCAAACTCAACTTATGCAGCAGCAGATCTAACAAAAGAAATAGCAGCAAAAAAAAAAACCTAGGAGACTGGATCGCAGAGATCAAGATTTACCTTGGGATTTGATCTCGAGAAGGGACAAGAGACGAGATCGGATGAAAAAAATAAGAGCAGAGGAAACCCTTCGAATCGATACCCTACTGGTCTTTTTTTGGAGTGTAGGTTTTATGTATAATTTCAGTGGATGGGTTAGACCAATGATCTATGTTCAGATCAGATGCGAACAATTATTTATTAATTTTGGAAAAATTCCTCAAATACCCAAAATATGGGACAACTCATATTAATATGGGACCAATAACGGGGACAAGTAAAGTGTCTCAAAGCTCGTCACGACACGATAGCCAAACAGGTGGGTCGAGGCTTTTGGCTCTTGGGAATAGGGCTGTGCAAACTACGCGTTTGGTTTTTATCAAATTTTAAACAAGCGAACTTGAACCATCTGGCATCTATTGTTCAAAACCAAATCGAACGGTTGCAAGTCGGTTCGGTTCGGTTCAATTTGTTTGATATTAATTAAGAGGACAAATTTTGAAAACAGACCCCTTTGCAAAAATATTCTCAAAAAAAGACTTGTTTTCACTTTATTTTCAAAAAACGACCTAGTTTCAGTCTCAGTGCTAAAACTGGGTAGGTTTTTGGGAAAAAAGTTCTCAAACTTCACGGGAGTTGAACTCCCGTGAAGTTTTGTTATGTAAAAAACGTTACGGGAATTCAACTCCCGTGAAGTTTGGGAATTTTTTTCGCAAAAAACGACCTAGTTTCAGCCTCAAGTCTGAAACTAGGTTGTTGTTTTTTTTGCGAATATTTTTAAAACGGGTCTCTTTTTGGGAATATTTTTGGAAAGGGGTCTGTTTTCAAATTTTGCCCTTAATTAAGATGTATTCAAATATTATAGACAAATATATTCGTATCTATTATAGAACCTTTTCTTTTGCTTTATTCACAACTTATATAGGTACTAACATGCAAGGATTTTGAAAAAAAAACACAAATCTAATCAAGATAAAGCGATAAAGAAGGGGAAATATCACAGGGGCAGCAACAATCAGCTACAACTTAAAACAAAATAAATACATTTATAAGCTACATGAAGGGAAGAAGCTATTTTAACACATACAAAGACCTAAGAGTCCAAACCAGCAACAATAATTAAGAAGCTGAGAACTAAATCAATTTTAATCACAAAATCTAATTAGGATTTATGGAATTTGTTATCTCTTCTAGTTCAAACTATTAGTGCATTTTAAAATCAAAGTAAAATACTGACCACTGAAAACCTAGTGGATAACTTGTATAAACAAAAATGAGTAAATATGGTGCTAGTGTATCTTTTAGTCTTGGTGTGTGAATGACTTAGCACTCATCCAATTTTTGAGAATGTGTATTTTTTATAATCTAATTTGTAGTCCCCCTAAAAATCTAATTTTAATCATGAAATCTAAATAAACCAATTATTTCTCACTAATCTACAATTTAGTAGCATGCATCAAGAACTAAAAAGTTTAGATCTTTCCCCATGAACTAAAAGCATAGATTCAAAATTAAGGTTTTCAGTTTATACCTTTACTACGAATGCGAGTGTCCCTAAAGCAGGAGATGGATCCTGAGAAGATGGTTCGGCCTCGGCCACGAAGACGATGATGAGTGGCTGCTTGGTGGCTAGTGAAGGAAATTTGAGTTGGCGGCTGAAGGAAATTCGATTTAGAGGCGTCGACGACGAGTCGTAGGCGACGTCGGTGAGTCAGAGTCGACGACAGAAGCTACGCCTGCGCTGGTGCACACTATGGTGTGATCTTATGCTGTGGCTTTGCGCTTTGCGCCAGTGCGCGTTGTGGTGCGCCTGCGCCTGTGCACGGAGTGCAGATAGAGAGTGTATGTGTGTGAGAGTGCAGAGTGAGGAACTGCGAACAAAGAGAGGAAGTGTCGTTGCGGGTTTGGATTTAGGGTTTAGGTATTTAGTGAACGGGTTGGGTATGGTTTCTAATGGGTACAGGTTAAAAATTATAGTGTTATTAGTGATGCGGTCAGTTCGGGCGATTTGGGTTGAAAAGTTTTCAACCTGATCAGAACCGACCTACAAACAAAACCAACCCGAACTGCTAATTTTCGGTCGGTTGGGACGATTTTTTCGATCTGGGCCGAACCATGCACAACCCTACTTGGGAACGACATAGAAAAGTAAAAGCCATATTACCAAGCTGGCTAATTTGTAGATTTTTCCATATGTGTTGTTAGTACACGTTATGGACAGTTGCCATTTGAGAGTAGTTATGATTAGTTTCTCGTGTTGTGTAGTTCTTATGTAGTTGCTAAGTGGGTAGTTGCAGAAATATGAGTGGAGTGAGTGGGTGAGAGGTTATTATTGTAGTTTATATACAGTTGCAGTGACTTAAACAATGGGTATGAATGAGAATTATCACTGTTATTCTCTCATATCTCATCTTCTTCCCCTCTATTCTTATCTATTCCTCTGTTCTCCCTGTTATCCTTCTATTTCTATCTCTCTTTCCTTGTTTTTTCTCTCTTGTTTCTCTTAGAACCATGGTTGGACAAGGCAGAGGCCAGGATCAGGTTTCAGCCCCTGACAACCTGGTATCGAAGATAGGTCGCTAGGATGAATTAGAGCTCGTTGAGTCTAACTCCAATAAGTTCAATATTCTGGGGGATCAGATGGATCATCAGGAATTCAATTGAAGGCGTTGAACGATAGCATCGAAGGCCTTTCTCGACTCATGATAGGACTACATCTCAACTTTCAAAGGTTCATGATCAAATGAGAATGCTCTCGGGGGAGAACAAGGCATCACAAGAATCTGTGCTAGGTTATCCTATACAACCATTTAACAATCCTACACCAATGTTCAATCCATCCTACAATAGTGCACCAACAGGAGGTAAGAGTACTATATCTAACGGATCAACTCAGTCCTCAAATCAAGGAAGAAACCCCAAATGTAGGTCAGATTTCCTCATACTTACTGCGAAAAATGTCCACGGCTGGTTGTATAGAGTTTGCCAATTAATTAGGTTTTATGCAATCCCTATGGAGCAACATGTGAGCCACGTCGTTCTATTCCTTGACGAAGCAACCCTATAATGGCACAGATGGCTCAAAAAAGGAAAGGGTAGACCAATATGTTGGTGGGAGTTCGAGCAAGAGCTGCTAACTCGATTTGGACCCTCAAAATTCTTAGATTACAAAGGGTCGCTATCAAAATTACAACAAACCGGACCGTTAGAAGAGTACCAAGTGCAATTTGAGAAATTATCCAACTTCGTTGATGGTCTTCCCAAAGACTATCTTATCAGTTGCTTTGTCTGTTGATAATCATATTTTTATTATAATTTTATACCCTCATTATCTATTTTACATGAATAAATACACTACTAATACTTGTTTTATCTTAATTTGCAGGTTAATGAAGAAATAATGAATAAAAACATAAGATCTCATCTCTCAACAAAGCCCAAGAGCTAAATCCCAAGAGAAGAATCAGCTAAAAATTTGAAAAAAGGCTGGCTATCGATAGCGGTATCGATACATGTATCTATACCGCTATCGATACATGTATCGATACCGCTATCCATACGTGTTTACTGTAGTAGAATCAGGGGCTGAAATGGATTAGCTTGGGGATCAAGTTTAATCCAATGGCTCTCATTCATTGTTGTAGGCTATAAATATGGGTAGAGAGTGAGGGTTTGAGGGTGTGAAAAAATTTGTAACTCCATTTGGAGAGAATGTTACTTTTAATTGAGAAGACCTTCCAAATTAGTAACTTTTATTGCAATTAGTAAAAAAATTCACCTCTTCATATTTTTATTCTCTTTATTTGATGATGATGATAATGAAGATGAAGATGAAAATAAAGATCAATTTGAAGGTTTTCTTTCATGAGGCTAACCCCTCTTGTAATGTAAAATTTCCCTTTTATTTTTATTTCTTTTATTTTCTTATTGCTTTAGTAGTTAGATTTACGTTAATGCCTTGTAGAGTAGATTACATTCTTGTCTTTATTTTTTTATTATTGTCTTGTACTTTTAATTTGTAGAGTAGATTTATTTTCTCGTATAATCTAGATTTTCATTTATGTTCTTTTCTTTTATAATTTAGTTATATTTATTTCTATGTTCATAGTGTAAACTTCTTTGTTCTCATTTCTCTTCATTGTAATTAATTTTTATCTTCATTCTTTCCTTTTATTTCATTTCTTTCTTAAGATAAGGAACAAATTCTTGTAGGAAATCTAGAATTATATAAAACGAGTCTACTCTTTTTTATATTGTGTGAATTATTCTTGCACTTAAAGTGATCATGTGTAGGATAATCAACTAGAGAACTAATTAGTAGAATAAGAATTTGATAATCTATACTTATCTTGAGTGGTTTGATAAGTTATGCTTATGAATTTTAGAATTACTATCTAGTTGTTGTTCTTTTTATACATTTTAATTTTTCTTAGATGATAATTTGAAAAGTTATGCTTTCCTTAAGTGGTTTGGTAGTCTATACTTAATAAATCTAAAGTAAAATATGATACAAAGAGAATGGTTCATTCTATAATTGAAATTAGCTAGTGGATTCAATTCTAAATTCCTCATATCTTTAATTGAATCATTCATCTTTACTTTCTTGATTTTTCTCTTTATTTTTGATTTTTCAATATTTACTTTCCTCTTTATTTTCTTTGATTTCCTTCTCTCTTCTCAACCTCATTTTATTTTCTTTATTTGCATATGTTCACAACCACTCCCCATATCTATCCACAATTACACACTTTCATTGCTCCTAATTGTCACACACACAACATAAGAACCAATTTAGATCAATACCTACAACACCTTTCTCTTGGGATCGATAGCTTTTTATACTATAACTTGATAGTTATGCACTTGCAACTTTTGGTTATTATTTAGACCCTATCATCAGTGGTTTAAGAGAAGAAATTTGGTACAATGTGATGTTAGAGGAACCAACTACCTTGGAGAGGGCCAATCAAGTGGTAAGAATTCATGAAAACAAGTTAGCATTCGAGAAGAAATCTCAATCACTCAAGCTATTCTTCAATTAAGACGTAGAATTGTCCACACTGTTAAATTAAGTATTGGGTATTGGGTTAATTGGCTATTATCCGTTAACCTTAACCCTATTTGTATGGCTATATATATATCTCTCTTATTATCTCAATAAATAATAACTAGGGTTTT